TTGCAGGGCATATGAGCGATGCTTAGGGACCCCCCCCCCTTATACCGCTGACCGCAGTTGCCGTGACGGTCAGCAAATAGAGTTACCTTTCCGGTTCATCGCGTTCTGTCGTCCCGGCTTGCCACTGTGACATAATCTGCATCAGCCGTTTTTGAACCGCTACTGGATGAAGACCTGCCCATGACTTTGTCAGAGACCGGTTTTATGACACACCCCTGCTCATAACCACTTTGACTTCTTCATTCGACAGTGACATGACAGACTCCTGTTTGTACCTTTATCCGTTTATATTTCTTTCATACATATTTTCCCGTCATTCCCAACATACATCTTTCCATGCTGCTTGCGTATTCTCCAGTTTACAGAGAATTTTCAGGTTTAGGGTCGGCGTTTTGTACTCGTAGAGTAGTACTTGGAGCACCATACAATGGTCGTAATCTTTCCTGTTCAAGCTCAAGGGCAGTTTTCTGGATAGGAACATTTTCAATCTTCCTGCAGTGCTGGCATTATTTTCATTCTTCTGTTAATTCCATATGATCGATTCTCCTTTGCAGAGATTAAATGTCTAATATAAGCATAGGTTTGAACCTCTTCATGCCTTAGTCCTATAATTTCAAGAAACCTGTGAACCTTAATTTCCATCGTGCAAGAGCTGTAATCTGGGCCTGTATGAAACGTGCTTTGTCACACATAAAGTTCTGCAACAACCCGTAGGAAACAAATCTTCATGGTAAAGTACCTGCGGTTAGTTGTGGATGAGAGTCTTGATTGGGAACAACATATGAATGCCACGAAGAGATCGATTCTGTCGTACAGAACGAAGAGATTGTACATTGGTTCGAAAGTACTGAAAGAATTCACTAAATCCTGCATTCTATTTTACTATCCCTCGACTAGGCACCGGTCTACTCTGCAATCGCCGGAAAAAAACAATTGGCTTGCATCCGGAACTTTTTGAAACTGCTTGGTTGACCAGTTTTGGCATAACTTAATCAGATACCTGATTAAGACAACAACAGCTTTCGGCAGCTCTGTTCTCCTTTGTGCAAATGGTTTCAACAGTACCTGTCGAGCGGCCAAACACAAGGTCTTTGTACGGTACTTGCAAGGGCTGGACCGAAGCCTACTGCAAGTCAGTCGTCAGTTAGTCGTTCGCAGTTCGATGATTGATCGATCCAAAAAGAGGAAATATCATTTTGGGCCAGACACTGATCAGCTAATATTGATCCATTTTCGCTGTTATTTTTATTGTTTACTACTTTTTAAGTATCTGTGGTTTCGGCAACTTATCGTTTACCCTCCGATTCACTGAAGTAAATTTCACTCACTGTCTGACTTCGGCAGGGCACATGAATTATGCCTTCTTAGGTTCGTTTCCAGTCCTAATTTGATGCCATTGCCGCTCAGCTCTTGGACTCTTCTTTGGCGCTTTTCTAATGACCGTTAAAGGATGAGAATCTCCCCCCGAAAACCGCAAATCGCTTAAGTAGAACCAATTTATGTTCAGCCGCTGGTTTTCCAAATGGAGCTCCTTGTAAACTTCTTCTATAGCTGTTGTGAATAATTTCAATGATATTGGGCCTTCCTATTAGACACCATTTTCGTTTTTTTAACTCACTTATGCTTTGTGGAAGCCTAACGCTAGCAATTGCCATTAATGCGGATTATACGGATTAAATTTCTGCGCTTTTTCGATTCACTGGCTGCTTAAGGAATCCAGGACAGAACGAACGTTCATTCAGTAAAATATTACCAAACCCCAGGCAGATAGGAAGCTGAGATTTGTGCTTGTTTTAATTTTTGTCATATCCCGTGAGGATGGTTCACTGGTAAATCCACTTCTAAATCCTGTTAGTTTCTTTGGCGATGCAGCGTCTAGTTTTTATCGAAATCTGTTCATCAGCATATTCGCGAAGATCTTGTAGATGACTGACAACAAACAAATCGACTGGTATTTGTTCAAATCCTCTCTGTCTCTTTTTTGTCAAGTGGAACAACCTTACATACGAGTCCGTAGTTCAAGCGTCTGGAATTTCCGTTTCCCTCGGATAGATTGGAAGTAAGCTTATTCTTTTTGTCAGTGTTTCACATCCTGATCCCTTGAGTTCATCTCTAATACCATATTCGACGGAATCCCTTCTTTGCTTCGAATGTTTAATGCATGTTGCACTTCTGGCAGGATTTCTTGGTTTCGTGAACTTCACTTGTATCTTCAGATTTTTCATCGTCC